GAAACATGAGCATAAAAGCAGACCACAGGGATTGTGGGCTATATTCCAAGTGTTCTGAAGCCGTAGCTCTCTATCGTTCGTGTTCACCATTCAAATATGGTGCATGGTCATACCAGGTTTGACAACATTGGTTGTTAGTGGTCTCAACTCAAAACTGTCACTAATGCAAAGCTTATTGTGGATTTTGCAACACTAAATGTATCTATCATTCACAAATGGCAAATAACACATTGAATTAAACATGCCATTTTTAAGTTCTTTATTTGTACTTTCATAGTGTTTGAACTGTGTACCAGTACCTCGGCACTTGTACTTAAACCTGTTTTAAAGATTATATTTCCACACCAATGTTAGATAGAGGGTTTTTCATAGTAATCAGTGTCTTAAAGGGTTAGTTCACCCAAAAATGAATATTAAGTCACTAATTACTCACCCCCATGCTGTACCAACCCCGCTCATCTTCGGAACCCAAATGAAGATATTTTTGATTAAATTTAAGAGGTGGATCACTGCTACATAGGCTCCTAAGGGATTGAAACTTGACGGCCCAGAAAGTCATTGAAAAAAATGTTTAAATATTCCATGTGACAACTTACAGTGACTCAACTATAAGTTTATCAAGCGACGAGACTACTTTTTGTGCGAGAAAAAAAAAACGAACAAAAATAACGACTTTATTCGACTATTCCTTTTCTTCCTTGTAGGCCTGAGACGAGAGATCAAGAGATTTCCACGACGCATGCGCGAGAACTGAACAAGAAGTATTAAAAGAAGAACGCAGTTCTCGCGCATGCGTCGTGGAAATCTTTTGAACTCTCGTCTCAGGCCAACAAGGAAGAAAAGGAATAGTCGAATAAAGTCGTTATTTTTGTTTGTTTTTTCGCACAAAAAGTAGTCTCGTCGCTTTATAAACTTATAGTTGAGCCACTGTAGTCACATGGAATATTTAAACATTTTCTTCAATGACTTTCTGGGCCATCAAGTTTCATTCCCTTAGAAGCCTATGTAGCAGTGATCCACCTCTCAAAATTTAATCAAAAATATCTTCATTTGTGTTCCGAAGATGAACGAAGGTCTTACGGGGTTGGTACAGCATAGGGGTGAGTAATTAATGACTTAATTTTCCTTTTTGGGTGAACTAACCCTTTAAATCAAGATAATTGTCCATTCCTTATGCGCCTCTATAAAATACTTTTGAGGTTTTATGCTCAAGGGAAAGTTGGTTCACTGGTTGCCATATCTGCAATGCCTCCAGCAGCTATTTTGGGCATGCAAGACCAACTCTAATCTAATCTAAGCTTGCCAAACTCACATTTAAATAACATATTTCAAATCAGCAATCTGACATGAACTGTCTCAAAAGTTGTTTCTTATGCTGAAATAGCATTAAAAAGTGCATTTCAGGTTGGTAAAGCCAATGTGCACGTGACTCCTAAGCAGGAGTCTCAGGACACTGACTGTTTCTATGGGATCTTGAGTGTCTAATGGCAGATGCAGTAATTATTCTGATTATTCCATATTGTGCAGCACACTGCACTTTCCCCCATTCATAGAAATTAGAGCCCGATCGATAAAGGATTTTGAAGGCCGATACCGATACAAATATTTTGGGGTTTTAAAATCCGATATTCCGATATATTATTTATTTGTTTTAAACTGGACATGATAGTCACAAATTTTGTCCTGCTTATTTGAGTTAAGAGAACTGATGGGGATGTTCTTTTAATTGTTATTCAAGCAATGTATGTATCGTGACCAACTCAACGAGTGTTGCCAACAGGAACTGTGTAGAGTGCCCTCTGGTGGACAAACTATACAACTCCAACACTCATGACATGGTTCAAGTGTGTTTCGTCCGTTTTTATTTTATTTTTGAAATATTCATTTATCGGCCATTATAACTGCCGATACCGATAGTTTGGAAAATGCCTAATATCGGCTGATAATATCGGCCTGCCGATATATCGGTCTGGCTCTAATAGAAATAAAAGTCTTGGTATTTATACAGTCTTTGTTTGTTATTGAGTGCAGGTGAAATATTCTGTGTAATGAGCAAAAGTCCCTATTTAAGGCAAAAAATTAAAACGTCACTGAAACGAACAAGAAATCTCACTTTAATAGTAGTTATAGCTCCTAACTTTACTGTTTTTTTTCCTAATCACTGTTACTGTTTTCAGAACCTTGATGTCATTTTTCAAAACTCTAGACACAAAACTGACAACCAATGATCAAAAAGCACATTTTTCAAAACTCTAACCTTTTCTCTAACCTTAAAACTCTAACTCTAACCTAGCCTTTTCTCAATTGATTGGATACAATACACATACAACTTAGATCATTTGTTACTTAACATCAAAGTATTTCAAAAGGCAATTCACACATTACATTTCAAATGAGTGCCTTTTCATTTCCTTACAATGATCGAACTATCAGCTGATACAACTGCTCAAAATGATAAGAAACTGTTGCATTACTCTTATTGCATGGTTGTATGGAAACAGACACACAATCTACCATGTTTACAGTAAATCATGAAACTTTCAAGATAAGAGATTCATTGTCACCAATTAGTGTGGAGCATGAACCAATTAGACGACAATGTTGCATAATATTATATATTTTTGCTTTGATTCCAATAAACCTATGTTGTGATTGTACTGTAGTGTTTTGCATCAATATATCACACACTTTGTTCAATGATTCCACTATTCTTTCTACTACTGCAGTACGTTTACAGAGATGTTTATTTACTGTAGTGCCATAATGAAACCTGTATCAGCTATTTTGTTCTACAATATTTAATGATTGTACGAACAATGACACGGTGAAACTATTGGTTGCTTGTGTGTGGGTTTCAATGGTATTTCACAGTAAATTAGTTTTTTTTAACCAATGATTGCGCAAGATTTCTTTAAAGGATTAGTTCACTTTTGAAAAAAACTTTTGCTGATAATTTACTCACCCCCATGTCATCCAAGATGTCCATGTCTTTCTTTCCTCAGTCGAAAAGAAATTAAGGTTTTTGATGAAAACATTCCAGGATTTTTCTCCATATAATGGACTTCAATGGGAACCAGACAGTCCAAGGTCCAAACGACAGTTAATAACAGTGTCAGATGCAGCTTCAAATGTCTTTAAACGACACCCGACGATAAATAAGGGTCTTATCATGCGAAACGATCGGTTATTTCAAAACTTATTACAAAAATGTAACTTTTCTAAGGACAAATGCTAGCCTTGCTCTATTCTGTGAGGCGCGTTTGTAACGTCACGTTATAATTACGTTCAAAAGGTCACGGGCGACGTAGCCAGAAGTACAGAGTCAGTGTTTACAAGTTGAACGCATAGGTTGAACGTGCAAACTAACTCAAACGCCGTTTACAAAAAAATGAATTAAAAGGTAAAACAACGATGTCAGACGATTTTGATTCTGTACTTCCGGCTACGTCGCCCGTGACCTTTTGAACGTAATTACGTATTACGTGACGTTACAAACGCGCCTCACAGAATAGAGCAAGGCTAGCATTTGTCCTTAGAAAAGTTACATTTTTGTAATAAGTTTTGAAATAACCGATCGTTTCGCATGATAAGACCCTTATTTATCGTCGGGTGTCGTTTAAAGACATTTGAAGCTGCATCTGACACTGTTATTAACTGTCGTTTGGACCTTGGACTGTCTGGTTCCCATTGAAGTCCATTATATGGAGAAAAATCCTGGAATGTTTTCATCAAAAACCTTAATTTCTTTTCGACTGAGGAAAGAAAGACATGGACATCTTGGATGACATGGGGGTGAGTAAATTATCAGCAAAAGTTTTTTCAAAAGTGAACTAATCCTTTAAAGATATGAATGCACAATGCAATGTTTTGAACATTAGACAGCGTGTGTTAAGTGATAACCGTTTTTAGTTTTGTGTCTAGAGTTTTGAAAAATTACATCAAGGTTCTGAAAATAGTAGCAAAGTGATTGTAATAAACTGTAATAAAATATGATGTGTGAATATGAGGAATGATTACCTCAGAATGTACATCCGTATGCAAGTTCGATGAACTTTACATACCAGTTGAGTGCAATTCATTATCCCTCCATAGAATCCTCACCGGACATGTAGAGGATAAAGTGGTTTGCAGAATGGAATGGAATTGATTAAAATATACTTTAACCATTTTGGGTGCAGTAAATAAAATGACAAAATGCTCTCAGTTTGTCTTAATTAAACCTGCAGTCAGTCAATAACACTGATTCACGCTGATTCTTTATTGTTTGTTTAATTGGCTAAAAGTGCAGAATCTCGTCCTTCCCGTCTGCTTTCAGAGGCTGTTAATGATTTTCACTGAAGACTGATAGTTTCCCATTAATAAAACTGAGAAGAAAATACCATTGAGCACTTGCAAGAAGTATCTACTATAGGTTAATTAGACAATAATTGGCATTTGTGTAGTGAAAGGTTACAATATTTGGGCTTGAAGGATTACGGTGCAAATGTCACATTAACATGTAGTACAACCATTATAGAATTCATTTGGCCTTTTTCAAGCAAGACTCCTTATCATATGCTGCATAAATATTGGCATCTTGCGAATTAGATTGGAATTGATTGATTTAATTGTTTTGAATTTAAAATACACCCAGAAAATCTCCGACTTGAACCGAGTTTCCTTTAGTACTTTAATAAAGTTCCTATCTCAGTTGAAACAGCTTGTTTCCAACTCTTCGAGTAACAAAAGGTTATAACTGAGATTTGGGAAATAAAGTATAATTTAAACAGCCTTGAGGAACTGTGTAATTGATTTAGTTAGGCAGTACTGCGTTGAATAACATATTTACCGCTCAGGCTGAGGAAAAGGTTTTGAGACATTCTTTACCACCAAAAAAAAAAAAAAAGAAAATGTCAAACTTGGTGACTCAAGGTCTCTTGGCGAATCATTTAAATATATCCAGAATCCAGCAAGCAATACACTGGAAGGAAATAAAACTCATAAGGCAAAAATAATCCAAACCATTCTATGTGCACTTTATTTACAATGATTCATTAATATTACAGTCCTTAATCTACACGTCACCATCTGCGTACAGTCCTGTAGCCTCATAAGTGAGAGCAGAGCATTGGCAAGCCTGGAAATACGGTTTCGTTTTTTTATTTAAACTACAAAAGGTGCTAAAATAAAATCATTTAAAAAAAAATGAGGAGAGAACACAATATAAATGAAGATACAAAAAATTTTGATTTGATTCATCTTTTAAAAAGTCTTAACATTGTCCCACTGTTGTCATGTCAAACCACAAGAACGCTAGACATCCTTTATGTAATGGCTGAAGTGTTGTGTTCAGTAAGGTTTATGTAGCGGTTGTTCCCTGTCTCTTTTCCAAAGGCATATGGGTGAGTTCGGTTAGCACACATTGATTCGACTAAGCCACTTCCTTTAAAACGCTGTCGTTTAGTCTTTCCATGTAGTTCCGTAGCTCCTTGGAGTCGCCAAGCTCGACGTCCTGACACACCCACTTAATGTCATCGTCAGGATCGACTCCCAAATTTTCCTTCGCGGGACTAACGCTTTCCACCGGGATGGTGGTGAACGTGGAAAACTTCACACGTTTCCTTTTGGTCGTTGGCGAATCGCCTTTGCTGTCTTTCCCCGTGCAGACTGTGGCGGTGTCGGCTCCTCTGTGCACCTGGCCTTGGACGTTCTTCTGCACAGAACCGCCGTTGAGAAGGTGGCTCCCTTCTTCTAACCCTCCTAAGCTGGAGTCCATGATGGTGATGTGCTCGTCGCTCTGCGGAGACAAACTCACGTGGCTCTCCAGAAGTTCGGCGTCGTTTCCCAGCCACACCCAGTCGTGAGCGTGGTTCATGCTCTCCTGGCCCTCGATCGACATCTCCTTGTGTTGGTACTTGAGAGTGTATGAGATGCAATTGATGAGGAAGACCAGAATAGCCAAGCAAAAGACACCTAACAACGCGTACATCCCAATTTCAAGGTCAGTAAGTCCATGAGGTATTTGAATGTCGTCTTCGTCCACGTTGTGTCCTCGGGGAAGGTCCACTTGAGCGGGGAAGTCCGAGAAGTCGATCGGAATGCCAGGCAACTGGCTCCCGTCGTCCGAGAGCTTGTCTCCACCTGGTCTTCTGATGATGGCTGTTTTGGTGGTGGTGGTGATTCGTCTCATGATGCCGTCCTCTATGTCTGAGATGGAGCTTCCATAGTAGTGGTTGTCCATTCCGGTCCTGTCCGGGAGGGACGGGTTCTGTCTGTGGTCACCTGGTCTGTTGTCCATGTCCTCTCCGTCTTGGCCGTAGTCACCCGGCCTCAAGGCGCTTTCGCTGCGCCCAAACTTCACACGGATGTTGCAGTTTCCGGCCGCTAGGACACTTCGGCGCTTAAATTTCTGACACGCTTCACACAGCGTCATTTCTACGTGCACTAGCAGGCCTTGTCCCTCGGCTCGCGCTGAAATAACCGGCCACTGGCTCGCAGCGTCCTGCCGTATGGACACCACATCCTCGTCCAGAGAAGTAGCGGTCAGGACAAAGTGCTCTGGGTTGTACAGGTCCAGAGGAGCCATGGAGCCGTCACTGAACTGCAGCCAAGCACTGATCAGCGCCTCCTATAGGGAGCAAAAAGAAAATCCAGATCCGTTTGAATGCTTCAGCAACAAATAATGTATTTGTACTATATTAGTTATCGTATCAAATGATATTTAATTGTGCTCGCTCATTTATTTTGATTTTACATGTAGATTGTTTTGCCGTAATCGAATATTCACTTAAAGTTCATTAAAGCATTAACAGATTTCAAAATATCCATTTTTCTTACTGTGCTTTATAATGTTGTGATGCCTAAAATGTGATTTTAGTTTTTGTTATATTTTATATTTTTTAACTTTTTTTTCTTGACAACATATATATCTCAGGCAGTACTTTGTGTCTTCAAATTTTGTCACAGTTGCCATTTCTGAAAGTATTATAGTACTATATATATATATATATATATATATATATATATATATATATATATATATTTAGTACTATATTATATTATAAAAATAAAGCAAAAATGTTTCAAGGCCAATAATCCATGTGAATGACCAGTGGAGTTTTCAATTCTAAAAGTTATTTTTTCTTAATAGTGTGTGAGAGCTTATTCATCAAGTATGTGTCAAAAGAATGCGGTCTACAGTATGTACACACACACACACACACACACACATTTTAAATATAGCCTATAAACACACACAGTAATCAACATTTGAAGTGGATCAAAACCTTTCATCAAAGTTATACATGATGAATTTTGAACAAAAATTGTGTGTGCGTATGTGTGTACAGTGTATATATATATATATATATATATATATATATACACTATGTATTCTGTTTATAAAAATAAAGCAAACCAATAATACACGCGTATGATCAGTGAAGTTTTACTATTCTAAATGGTATTTTTATTTATTTATTTTGTTAATAGGCAGTATTCTTTTGACACAGACTTTATGAATAGCCTCTCACACACCATGTAAAGTGCCTGCTGGCAGTAGACGACAACGAATTCACTCCGTCATATTGAGGTGGAGCCCATGTCGTTGCCTGTGACTTTACTAATATACTGTGTCTAAATCCACACAGCAATCCTTTAATGTAGGCCATGAGATCAGAGTTGTGTCTGCTCTACTTGGAGGGTCAGGAGGAGTCAGATTAAAAAGATATGAGGAGATAACAGTGCCATTACGGATATGGAGCTGCATATAGGGATTTGCAACACAAGCATCTTAAGCTCTTCACTTACTGAGACATCAATGCTCGCTGCCCGTCCGTGAATAGCATGCTACAAATCCTTCTAGAGGGGAGGGGGAACTCCCAGAGCACTCTAATCATGCAGGGAGACAGCGAATGAGGGAGGTGCTCATTATGATATCTGTAATACTTTAAAAGCATAGGCTATTGTGAGCTCCAGAAGGATTTTGTAGTGTTTTTATATATTCCGGATTTGCAATTTGTTTTAAATAATATTTTCTCATTTATTTATTATTTTTTTATGACATCTTATTTAAATTTTTTCATTTGCATGATGGCCAGCGTTAAGACTTATTTAATTGGTATTAATTCGTGCAAAGGCCATCATCGCATCCCAAGGTATCCTGCTGCATGTTATTTTGATACAAGGGATTGATTAAAAGAGTTTGGTTGCTGTAGCTTTCTGTTGCAAAAAAATCTTGTTTCTTCAGCACTAGTCACGGAAATTGTTCTCTAAATTGTTGGCTATGCATATGAACATTTCCTTTTAAAATATATTTTGTGTGTCTGTGTGTGTGTGTGTGGTCATAAATGGCACATATTAAATCTGAGCTCATATTTAACCATTTAAATCTGACATTTCTGCAACAGAAAATAGGTTTTAGTGAAAGAGGAAAAAAAAAGGAAATTATCATCTGAAATGTGCTTCAATTTATTTCATATTCCAATGTGATTAAAACACGGCACAAAGCATATTTGGATTTGTTCTGAATGAGAGAGGTGCATGAGCCCAGGTTTATTTGTCTACAGGGTTCTTGTAGGTTTCAGCAAGTCAAATTTAAGACCATAAAGATTAAAGATTAATTTGGATTAAAAACAAAAAAACCTATTCAAATCAAAGAAATTCAGTCATTGAAAAAGCATGAATTTAATTTACAGATTAAGCAATCACATTAGTAACTTTCCATAGCCAACATGACATCATGACTTTTGCATAAACATACACGCCACTTTCGAGTCAAGTGGCGTGTTATCTCTACACATTTTGAGCTATCCGCGTGTATCCGCGTGTATGTCTACGCCATTAACGCCCGAGTGATTCCGTCTGTACACGCCGTCAAATGTCCGCGCGAAACGAAGCAAAATGTAGATCTACATCTGGGAAGCGATCTTTTTTTTTCCTAGGATGGTAAGGGAAGAGTCATAAATGCCATTAACCCCAGTGACGGTTAGGTTTAGGGACGGGGTTGAGGTAAGTCATATTTTTATATACAGTAATAACGTTAAGTCAATGGCGTTCATAAACACGCTGAAAAGTGATTATGCGTCTTGATAGCACGCCAAAAATGGAAATACGAATTGGCGTGTCATACACACGCTACTTCATGAGGTCAGTCTGCCATACCCAACAATGTGCCAAATAAAACGTTAGGCCCAAAATAAAAATAGGGTAAAACAAATTTGCCCTCAAATCGAATAGATTTCATCTCATATTTATTTACATAACAAAACAGCATATTCATAATCTAATAGAGATTAAACAGGCTACTCCAACACATGTAGCTAACACGCACTCACACACACACATACACACAAACACACTGGATAATCCATGTTAGATAGATAGTGTAATGGATTTTTTCCCTGAACCTGACTACTCTACAATAATACTCACTCTAGTTGGCCAAGTCTTATACTTTTACCTCAGCGCGTCTACAGTCGACGTCCTGCTGAGGTATAAACCTACCCTATACCATAGCGCGTCTACAGTCTACGACCTGCTAGGTACTAATCCTATAACCCAGCGCGTCTACAGTCGACGTCCTGCTGGGTACTAATCCTATAACCCTGGCGCGTCTACAGTCGACGTCCTGACAGGTACTAATAATTCTAACTTACTTGTTCTTGCTGCGCAGCTTAAATAACAGACAGACTCCAGCAAATGTCCTTTCAATGCTTTTAATTACGGCCAGGAGAGTTCTCGAGCAATACTCAGAGAACTTCCCAAGTAAAAACAAGGCCGGTGGATCTCAGACAAATTCCATTGAGAATCCCCCCGAAAACACGGATACAACAGTTTTTATACAATATGGAGGTATGCCATAATGACATTAATTTCATTGGTTCTTCATAGGTACACTGTTTTGTTACTGGGTAGAAGAGACTTTGTTTTAATGTTTCTAACTTAGTCATCTGTCTAGTTCCATTTCCCATATTTGTTATTTATACTCAGTCAGGTGTTTGACACACATACATTCATCTGAAGTACAGAATGCCTTAGTACATTGTCTCAGATACTCCGCTGGTTATATGAGGTCAAATGTCAAAACATGGTTAGCTTAATATTCAGTTTAAAATTTTCCACCACAATAGCTATTTACTTTGGGATAATTAGAGAGAGAGATTGATTACATATGCCTCCCCTTTAGCACCAATCTCAGCCTCAATGTTTCTGAGCCTTCCTGGCAAGACAGTTGGACACCTCTTTTAAACTGGTCTTCCTCTTTTTTTAGTTGCTCTAAACCATCCTCTGCCAGCTTTCTCTTCTGGCTCTGCATTTCCGATTCTTTCCTGGTGCGCTCCTGATCAAGAAAGATGCGGTACCTTGACTGGGCTGGACCCACAGATGTTAGGAGCTCACTGGTGAGTGGAACCTTTGTCACACCCCCATGCGTCTCTACATAGTCGCAGATCAGCCTATTTGTGACGATGGTCTCCTCATGCATATTTTCAATCTCCACCTCTTTGTTAACCGAAAATCTCCTTTCAACGGAGGCCTGCCCATGTGAAAGAAGGTGCAACCTCTGGCGAAAATCCCAAGCGGCAGGATAGGGACGGCTTAACCTCTAATACAGGAAGGTGTCTAGTTGGTTTTCAAATGGTTGGAAGGTGAGAAGTTCTTCGTTCCTTGCCTCAACGGACAGGAAAGACTCAAACTGTTGGACAATGGTATCCCCTAAAACAAAGTGAGAGATAAAAGAAAAGTCAAATATGCATATAGATAAATCACAGCACTGTAAGACTCAAACCAACTCTTCAATAACAACAAAACCTGTGTAAAATGATGGGACTTATTCAAAACATATGGGGCAGTTCACACAGAACAGGTACAGGACTATTAGAAGAGGGAATTTCAGAGGCGAGATGTCCATGCTAAACCAATACCCTGATAGGAAAAGAGAAAAGGGCCAAATGGGGGACTAAATGTCTGCAACAAAGAGAATGATTGAAATTAAAAATAGTATAGTTCACCCTAGTACTTAAACTTTGGTTTATAACCCCTACCAAAACTATTCCTACCAGCAGATACACCCCATGTCAGCTGCTTGTCCTTCAGAAATGTCTGTATGCGACATTTCATTTGAGTCCCTGAACATGAGAGACGGGTCCAGACACTCCATCTGCCTAACTGTTGCATATTTCAAGGGGCTCCTCTCCTGAACTTTCCTCTGTTTGAGAGTCCCTCCATGCAATCCCTCCTAAACTCAAGGACCCTTAGCGCTGCACTTTTTACTGTTCTGGACAGGGGAATGTGCAATAAAAAATACATGTCAGTAGTATCAAAATGAGTTTCATTTAAAAAGTACACATGATTGGGCAATCATTAAACTTTATGCTACTTCTTAGTCTATTAGCCTAATGGCAAAGTTTCTTCCTGTTGCACACTTTACAACTGACAAGTTTGTAGTATGTTACACGAAATGACACTTGCTGTCTGCATATTGAACATTATCTCCAAAACTTTAAGAAGAATCGTGACAATACCTTGAGAGCTGCCTCAGCAACCAAGCCGTTTTCAAAGCGCAGTGGTGTCTTGCAGGACCTCTCTTTCAGTAGACTCTGCCAAAAGACAAATTAAGTAGAATGAACA